TGTCCACATGCTGAATTTTACAATGATTCTAATGACTTTGAATGGGGACAGCGTGCTCCTGTGCCAGAGGAAGAAAAATAGCTACATCCATGAAAAGCCAGACATATTGGCACAAAAATGGCAACAATGATGGATTAGATTGACGTAGCTGTACAGGTTGTACGGTCATTTTATATGAGCATAATAAATGATTTTATATGAGAAAAATTAGTGTTTTTCTTCAGTTGGCACGAACAATGTTAACTTCGCCTAGTAAACACTATTGCGGCTTCTGTGTCAACTCAAATAATATCAGATTGTTCTTGTTGGCTGGCCCTGTCTTCCAGGTGAGACATTCAGCAGATAAGAGGGATTTTATTTATTTATTTTTTTACCAGTACCAGAATCCTCTCATTTGGAGAGCAGTGTGAAGGATGTGTGGGAGAAGAATGTGAGTGTCAGCAGAATCAGCAGCAACTTGGCAGCCTAAAGGTGTTTTTGGATCAGCTCTGGCACTCTCTGGGGCTCCACCACCTGATTGATGGAGCTGTTTGTTCCTAATCACTTTAGAGATAAAGCAGGCTACCATGCAAGGAATGTTGAAAGTGGATCTAAGGACTTTGCAGCAACATGTGCAGGAGCTACACCAGAACTTCAGATTGTCTCGTTGCTTCAGAACTCATGCCGTTTGTCCCTGTGGCTTGCTTTTTATTAGGCAGTGGCTGTTGTTTTAGCCTGCCAGAAACTCCATTTGGGACCGTGTGATTGTTCAGCTTTGTGATCTTTTGGAGGTTTACAAAGCTGAGCAATCAGTATTATGTGGTGACTTACCTAATTCAGCAGTCATTTTTTGTGAAGCTGGTATCAGTTCAATTACAGTGTGTTGGTAAATCAATATGTGGAAGGATTGTCCACCCTGAAATGTTGTTTATGCAAACAATCCCTATTGAAATCGTAGGGGTGAGACTGAAAACAATGAGAGACGACGGAACAGACAAGGCAATGTATGATAAGAACACACTGGAGTTTGGTTTAAAATAAAGTGACAGAAAGTGATCATAAGGCAGGGGAAAGGTGAAAATGGGAAAATAAAAAAGGTAAAGGAATAGATGAAGCTAGATTACACTGTTCACCAGGGAGCAGCTCTGTGATTAAACCTCAGCAGATTTTTTTTATTTCTGTTCTCACATATCATCTTGAGAAAGAAGCCTTCGCTCTGCTACATCAATATCAGGATTAAACTCAGCCTGTCAGTAAAAGCCTCAGTAAGTGTGGTAGAGAAGCACAGACGGAAATGCAGGACATCCCCCCTCCCCCAGATTCCCTGCATTTTAAAATGGAGGAGATGCTGGAAAACAGTTGTGGTGCCAGTGGAGCAGCAGGTACCACTGTAGGCAGTATTACTGTGACTATCACCTTCACTGCACAGCCTCTTTTAAGAAACAAAGTGATGCTGAGATTTTACTTTGGTTCTGGCATTTTTCTCTTTCAGCAATGCCAGAATAAACAAGTGGAAATAGCACAACACAGGCTATGATGGATTACTGTATGAAGCGCACTACATCAGACTGTGCCCACTGCTGCTACTGTAAACGTGGTAATATATGGGCAGTAGCAGCTACCTTAAACTGTACCCTGCAAATGCATATAAGTCAGATTTACTTTACACAACACGTAATACAAACAAACATAAATATTTTTTGACATGCCAGTCCTCTTCGATGGGCAAACCATGTAATGACAACTCTATTTCTAAAGCACCTCAAGAATAAATTTTGCTTCTCTGTTCTGCAGTTTCAACATATGTGCTGATACCAATATAATTTTTTTTGCAGACCTTCACTCGTCTCCCTTGAAGAGCCTTGCCAGTATTTCTCCCATGTGAACTCGTGGCTGTGGCTCTCTGGACTGACAGTGTTCAATGAGTAGGGGAGATCAGCAGCAGTTTCGGTTGACCAATCATCAGCCAGACAGAAACGTGAATGAGCTGTGAATGATCTGAACTGATCTGAAATGTTTGTCCAGGCAAATCCTTCTCTTTATGATTTTGTTTTATATGATCTAACTGGACGAAGTAGTGATAATATACAGCAGGGGTCAGCAAATAAGTTTTGGGGGGGTAGCGCTCGTCTAATAAAGGCACGTGTTCACTGGCATAGACTTCACTCGGTAAAAAACTTGGTAGCCTATTACGTAACAAGTCACTTACACAGTGGATATTTTATAAGCACAGACCAGGTAAAGCAACAGTAAAATCTGAGTGAAGATATTGATTTCAGTTTTTTAATAAGCTATGTCATTAACGAGCCGGTATGCGGTTCACTTGCTGCCGTAATAATGGCAAAAAAGACGAGTTCTGTGTGAGTTCCGCCTCTCTCTGTGAGAGAGACAGAGAGAGGCGGGGCAAGCCAGTGTGTTTGTGGTAAGAGAGGACGATCACGATGCCCACTCAACATTGTGATGTCCGCCAGTCATGGACAATGGCATCGCCTATTGGCCCAACCCTATTGGCCAGTAAGGTAACTAATAACGGAGACATTTTAGAGGAGACATGCCACTCAATCACATCCTCAATACAACTCTATGGGGAAAGCCCGTAACAGCAAAGATGGCGGTTAAAACGCTTTTTAAACCTTATTTTGGGGCAAAGTCGTCAAACTGTTTCAGTGATTATTATCAGATTTTAATGCTGATTCTATTGATGTAGTTTTTATGGCCTGGTAACCTGTATATGTGCATTTATACAGGTCTCCCCATTCATTTAGATAGGAGCCTGGTCTTGTTAGTCCAAAATAGCTGCCTGGAGGCGTTGCCAAGATGACGGCCGAGTGGCATCACTTGCCTATAAGGACTTTGTGAACTTCTACTCGTTTCTCATTCTATTTGATAGATTTACTTATGATGTTGTTTATATAACATGCCTTTTCCTTGAACATTTTCCTTGTAGAGACAATGGTGGAACACTGTTGTGGTTCAATGGTTTGGCGCCGGAAAAAACTTCTTCCACTGAGATTGCTTGTCTCAAAAGCAGCCATGTCTCTAGCATAACAGGAACAGAAAGCCCTGAGGAGCGTCGATGGCACCTTGAGGATGAACAGGGACATAAACACTTGCATGACACATAAATAGCTTGAACATTGAAAAACAAACCATAATTGTGAAGGTGAGGATACAAACTTTTGGACCAAACATACTATCAATAGTGTAGCTCTCTGGGTGCTGGGTTATTCTTGTTATCAGGGTCAGTCTGGCATTGAATGAAGATAATCCCTGAACGCTTCACTGAATGAGAGTGGATTTTTATTTTCCTCCTGGAAGTCAGGTCACCATGGAAGGATTGTTTGTGGAATCAGAGCTACTCCAGATTAGGAGCTGAAAATGACTAAAATATAGTAGAACCTCATTGCAGCTTTGTAGTTTTCCATTTACCTGAGAGGGCTTTTTTTCTGGGAATCATATATTTGATTTCACCCTGTTTCCTGTAAATATTCACACTGTGACAGACCCCCACTGTACAGATCCCTTCATAAACACAGAAGAAGCTCCATCTAATATTTTATGTAGAGTGGTGATGAAGTGTTCACTGTGTGAGCTCAAAGGAAGCCCTGTACCTAAGTGTTTACCACTCTGAGCTTGGCCAGAATCAGACTCCTGCTGTTTGGATAACTTTGTTGATTTTTGTGCATTCAGCACATCTCAATGACCAAAATTTGTTCAGTTGCTTTAAAAAAAAAGTCTTCATTGGGGAATGGATTGTGGTCAGCATTTACAAGGAAGTGATACATCACTGGGGAAACATTTCAAGAGGAAAGCAAAACAGCTTTCATTTGAGCTGTCAATGTATACTGCTCTGTTTATTTCTGACCAATAAAATGCACCTTAAAGTCAGTGTATGTACAGCAATATGCCTGTACATAAGTATAGTAAGCATTCTCTTTCATGACAAATTTTCTCTTGTCCATTATTTTCACTTTCTGATATTTCATACACCCCCCAAGTTTGCTTGCTTTCTTGATACATCATCAGAAAATGAGGAGCTGTTTTTAATTTGTTTGCTTTTGTGGCAGTCTTGTGTTTATTTGTACTTGAGGTATTTGCTCAATGCAGTATCTCTGTTTATGATAACTCTTTCTCTTTGATTGGGCTTTATCAAGGATATCACATAATACACACAAAAATCTTTTCTAAGTGAGGTTTGGTAGACATGTTGCAGTCTATTACCCGCAGGTCTCATACAGGCTTTCCCTCAGGAAATTGGTTAGCAGAGGTGGTAAGTGGTGACAGCAACAACATCCTTTGATACAACATCTTTTAAACCAACTTCCCCTCGATGCAGGATCAACTGTTGACTGCAGTGCAGTGGTGAATTTTTTTCTCACACACTAGCATTGTTGAAACTTGTAAAAACTCTATAGCAAACGTTTTTCCCGACTTTGCATTGTGCTGGTCTGAATGACCACTGCGAAGCAAACATACAGTGTAATCAGTCACCTGCTAAGCTGAATCTGACCTATCCTGACACATCATTTACAAGCTTTACCAAGTTTTCCCCTTTGTTGTAGAAAGTTTTACAATTTTACAGGCATGCTACCCGAAATGTTGCCTACTGAAACCTGCTCATAGTAAACATATATCGGTCTCAAATCTTTAATATGCGTGGGTCCAGAGTACAAGTGCAGGTGCGCCAGAAATCTATTGCACCTAACATTTTGCAGGACAATTTTTGTGTGCGTGTGTTGTCCCCATAACTCACTCGTGGAAGAAGGTGAGAGCCAATCAAAAGCAGAGAAGGGGCGCTAGATTTAGACTGCATTGACTCAACGCTGATACCTGTGACTTTGGCAACGCAGGTATCCTCACATTAATACTTGTGAGTTGCTGTCTGTGTCTCTCTGCAATTACACTGCCAAAATGCTAGTTGGCGGTGGGGTTTATATGTTCCACTGTGTTGACTTCTGCTGGTGAACTGGCTAACTTCCGGTTCAGCCCTCCGATAATTTGAATGGGGGAGAGGCTCTTCTAGACTTTCCACATGTTCCACTTCATCTTCTGCCAGTACTCTCTGCCTCGCTTCCAACAGCTGGAAACACAAACAGAACAGCATTGCAGAATTGCATGCTCACAATGTAGGTTTTCATTGTCATTTTATAGTTGTAAAATGAAATGAAATTTGTAACTCACTTCTGCTACAAAGCAGACAACATGCAGTATACAAAAATAATCACAGAATGAAACAAAAATAAACTATAAACTATGTTTTACAGAGTAGTGCTGATGTAATTGAGTCAAGGTTCAAAAGTCTCACAACCTGGGGGAAAGAATACATCTCACTGACAAACAATGAATCTAATCCAACAAATCTTACCCGCTTCCTTCTGGATCGACACTGGGCAGAACTCTTAAGGCTGTCGCCCTAGCAGCAAGATCTGGCTGACTGTACCGGATGTTCCTGTGTGCTGTCTCACAGTGGTCTCACTAGCAGCTGGAAAACAAAATTTAGTGTTATAAATAAATAGCATAGCCACAGTACAAAAAAAAATAAAGAAATAAAACACCACAGTAAAAAGTTTGCTACTTACACACAATGGCATCATGATCCACACAATGTAAATCCGGAGACCAAAAAGGATGTGAGCACCTCGTTGTAAAGTGAGCACAGACTGTGAAAACAAAATTACGGTCTAGGACAATCAAAAAAATGATTTACTTTTATACAGTACAATGCATGCCTGTTCTGTAAATCTAACCCTTTCTCAGCATCATGGGGCTCGCAATTTCCCTCAGTTGTGCAGGAGACTGGCCATTTCCTGTGAAATAAGGCAAGATAAAATGTCACTTTTGTGAACTAACTTATACTGATTTTGGCTGGTTTTGGCATAGCAGTGACCAAGTCTCACCACAATTTTTAGATTGCTCACCCATCTTCTCTTCTTGTTCTTCCACACTGGAGCAGTTGTTGGATTTAAGAACAGCCACCCTATCCTCCCTGGCAACATTCTGGCGTTCAGTGCAAAGAACTGCTGACTTACATCGGCTTCTGCAAACAATTTTATAGGAGCTCAAATCCAGCGTTATGTAAAACAAGAGTTACAGCTTGCTCTAATTCCAGTGCGCAGGCTGCGCTCCAAGACGCACACACCTTGAACTCGGCACGTAACTTATATCTCCCCTCTAAATTAAACAGAAAATGAACTAAATTGTGTTTTTAAATGGTTCAGTTCACTTTCACTTTCACTTTCTTGCTACCTGATATAAGAGCAGAGTACATGCTATTAACGATGTTTGACGGCGTTTCTAACACTTTTCCAGCGGACTTAGCATGCTAGCATAAGCATGCTAACATTAGCTTTCCATTTGAAGGCAAAACTGATTAAAAACTTAAGTTAGCGAACTCAAATCACAGCAGGACTCACACAGGACAAGTCGGATATTACATAGAACAGAATACAAGAGTTTGGTCACATTCAAGTTATAATTAATAACTTTTATCGACACAGCGTGGTTCAGCAGCAAATTACCTCTGACTCTCCGGTCCTGTAAACAGCCGGAGCATGAACCCACCCCGACACAACTGAAATTGCCTTAAATCCCAGTATTTCAAAAAAGCAAACACATATATGTTTTTCTTCTTTTTCTTCTTCTTCTTGACAATTATTAGCGAATGGCAAACAACGAATTGGTGCATTACAGCCACTGACTGGTATGGAGTGTGGTACAAATTATTAGTCTTTATGTTAGGCTATTTATACATAAATAAATAATTAAACAAAATAAACTCATATCCTCTTAATCACATTGTTCAGTAAAACAATTCATGTTATTAATTAATTAATTATTATTAAATCACAGTGAACTTTTATCATTGTGAGGTTTAGAACCAGCTGCCTTCTTTCTTCCTCTTCTTGCTTCTGACAGTGTAACATACCGTGCTCTACTGTTTTTTCTTGCCCGCGGAAGTCATGTTTGCCTATTTTGAATTATGTGCTGTTTAGTCCGAGTCTTTATATGATTGTTTGGTCTCTCCTGTTCCATCCTGCACATCTCATTTCTCCAACTATTCTCTGCACTCTGTAAAAACACGGTCCTTTCCTCTCTTCCTCCAATTACTTTTGCCACCATTCCTTGATTCTGTTTAGTTAGCCTACTTGATTTCTTGAGGTGTCACCTCTGACCAGTGGTGGCTTAGCTGATTTATATTTGCATAGCTTGCAGCATGTTGAGTTAGATGTGAAAGCCTCCCCGAGACCTAGGGGAAGGGGGGTCATGAGGGCAACACTGAAACAAAATCCATGTAATTTCCCGGTAGTTCCTGACAGTTTTTGGTGCTGGCCAAAAATTCGCGTGAGCAGCCGTTAATCTTCACGTCCGCAATTTAACGTGCCAATAACTGCTGAAAATCCCACTTTTCATGCAGTTTATAAGTTATTTCTGTAGGTGTTCGTGATTACAATCATTTACATAACTTTCAATGTGTATGGGAAATATGGCACTAGAGGTGCTGTGAAGAATTTGCACCTAAACTTTGTGGCTGTGCACCTAAATGCAAGATTTAGATGCATCAGTGCAACTAATGCAAAAGTTATGCATATATACATACATTATAAAGGTAGATGAAGAAACCATTTACATTTACGGGTAATATACTGGCAAGTATTTTCGGCAGCTCATTTTGGAATGTCTCTCAGTTGTCAGAACTCCAAAAAGTGTTTCTCTGTGATGCTGTTGTTAATACCATTTTTAAACAACTACCAAAGAAAATGATGACATAAAGAAAAAAAAATTCAGTAAAGACATCAGCTCCTATGGTTCCTGTCAGGGCTCATTTATTCACCTCTCATGCTCATGTTAGTCCTTGCAGCCTTCCCGCCATGTGTATTCTCATCTACATTCACATCCCTTTTCTGCCTATGGCTCTGCATCCAAAGGTCTTCCCAGTGGGGTTTGCTGTCTGCGTTTCACTACACCCCTCATTGATTTGTCTTCGTCTGTGAGCTGAGGAGACCTCCACCTGGGTCAGCCCAATCTGAATCCCTCTTTAGGCTGCAGGTCTCAAAAAGTTCAGATGGCCCCTCTGATTATTTTCGGAGCCTGAGGAAATAAAAACAGTGTGATAAAATGAAATTACTATTTTACTTTATGCCGAGAAGCTGTCAATAACTTCCTCAGTGCACCTTCACAAGCTCACCAGGAAGTAAGTTAGGGAAAATAGCAACATCGAATCCCTGTAGTCAAGACACCCCACATGGCACTGTTACTAATCAGACAAAGTATACATAAAATACAGCACACTGTTCATTATGTTGGACCAGTATTTAATTAAATGATTTATACCTGACTGAATTAAAGCAAATAATAATAACAATCCTGCCCACATTTTTCAGAGGTAGGAGGAAAGCAAATGAACAATGAGACACACACACACAAACACACACACACACACACACACACACACACACACACACACACAGTAGGGTTCTGTTCTTTCCCTCCTTTTGTCCCACCTCTCCTTCCTCCTAAACTCATGTTTTTTTCCCGTTTTATTTCACCACATTGAGCATTTGACATCAAACTGTCCTGACCATGGCCTCCTGCAGGTGACAGATGCCCAAGGGGTCCGAGTCATCATTGCGGCATTCCTGCATATCATTTCACCAGTCTTTTGATGGATGTGTTCTCCACCTCTTTATGCCTTTGAGTGTGACAGTGTGTGCTAAGTGAGTGGAATACAACGGTTTGCTCCTTAATTTTCACTATGTGAAAGTCTCTCCAATAAGACCTTGGAGTTCTTGCTCTCTAAGGAGCATCACAGCTGCGGTGGACAGCTCCTACTGTGCTGCAGCACCAGTGGAGATAATCTCCCTGTCAGCAGCCTGTCTCTCTCCCAGATGTCAACTGAAGCCAACTGTTGTGTACCTCCAGTTTGCACTCCCGCAGTGCTGTCAGCAAATGCTCATCTCACCATTTTCTGTGCTAGTGATTTTAGCATACTATCACATGCCAAGCTTACTGCATACATTTCTGCACCTCAGTGTTGGAATGCAGGAAGGTGTGAATGTGTTTTATGACCTCTTAGTGCTGTGTGTTGCAATGTAATATGAATAAATCACCACACTAATCAGAAAAAAAATCAGAATAATTAAAGTGAATAGTGTCTATGAGAAGGAATGAGCATTCACTTCAGTCATACATTAGCCATGCTGTGTAGCACCCATGTGGGAATGTGGGTTAATAAGTAAGTAAACGTTTTTTGAAAAACGCTTTTCACAGACATAACTCACAAAGAGCTTTACAAAAACATTAACATACAAGAAAGAAATCACAGAAGATGAAGGGACCAACCAAGCCACATGAAGAAAAGTGAAAACTAAAATCAGAGTACATAGTAAAATACATAATAAATATATAGTATGTAGAAAAATAAACAATAAATACATATTACACAATAAAAATACACCATAAATACTAGGGCTGCCTCCAACTAAAGATTTTCCTAGTTGACTAGTAGTCATTATTTCAAGCCATTATCACACACTGACTGAGGACAGCCATTAGTCAACTAGTTATCGCACACTTTTATATTTGTTTAATTATTTAAAAATATATATTTGAGGCATCAGAAAATGGATTTGAGTTCCATGACTGAGAATGAATGTTATAAGTAACATTGTTAATTCTATGTTACGTTACAGAGAAATGCAAAACCGTTATGATGAGCCTTCCCCTCAAGTATTTCTGACTTCTGATTTCTAATTCTGATTCTCTAAAATATTCCTTTACACAAGGGGCATGAAGCAGTTATGATTCTGAACGTGTCGGAACAACCAGCAAGGAAATTTCAGGGCTCTACAGTGCGACATCAAGTAGTCTAGATGTGGAGATATTTCACAGGATAACTAAAAACTTTGACCTGCTGGTGGCACCACAGGAAAAGTAAGGGTATCAAATGCCAATCCATTAAATAGTTGTCGGTATACTTTACTAAATGCAATCATTAAAATTTCTGTACAAAATATAACGACAATCCAGCTGATTGTTGCTCAGATATTTCTGGCTGGACAAAAGTGGCGGACTGATCGAAACAGACAGAAATCTCCATCTCTGGAGTCATACTGGCAAAAAGTGGGTACCTTGTTTGCTGTGCATTGAATGCCCTTAAATGTTACTTCCTGCTTACATGTTTTTTGTTTTTCATATCAGATTAGCTCTTTAGTTTTCATGATCTATAGATGTCTTTGATGGCTTAATGGGCTATAGCTTAAAGGTAATGCTGTTAACTGTTTGTTAACATGCAGCATGTTTTTCTCTGTAAAAGCTTAATCTTTGTTGAGAGATGCCAGCAGCAGTTGACTTACATCATGGCACACAACACACCCATTACAGAGAGGAAGCTAATTGGATTCACAAATCAGCTGACAGCTCTAGGTTTATAGTGGCACTGGGCTTTATGGGTAATATTAAAGGGACTGTTGGGCAGTTTGTCAGACGTAGTTTGTAGCTAGTGTGGAACTGGCACAGGAGAGAGCACCAGGGGAGCATCAGCATTCATTTCTTACCTTTTGTTGAGCTTTTACTGAGCAAATGCCACTGGTGAGCGGCGAGTCACTATGATACCACTCAGCCCCAAATAACTAAGCCCTAAATCATTGACTGGAATG